ATTTTTATAAAAGTTATTTTATGGGCAGAAAATACAGGACAAAGTAATAAATGCCAAACTGTCCCTTTTCTCTCTGAAGCCAAATATTTCATCATAAACTTGATTCTTAATGTTGGAATTTATCCCTTCAGGGCTACTATTACTTTTCAAAACTTCTTGAAATACTATATCTAAAAATTGAGGGGCCGGGGAGATGGCTCAGTGGAATAAGCGCTTCCCTGGCAAGCTCAGGGCCTGAGTTCAATCCCCGGTTCCACCAAAAAAAAAAAAAAAAAAAAAAAAGAAATAAAAATTGATTGGTAATTTAAAATTTCCTTTTTTTCTTCCAATTTCTTCTCTTTCTCTATCTGTTGACTCAAAAATTCACAGAATGAGCATGCTTCTTGCAAAATGGCTTGTCTTTCTTGGAGAAAAAGGTCTGTCCTTCCAAACTTTCACAACATACTGAGCACACAAAGCAAGTGTCGTGCCAGGTATAGCCGAGAGCTTCCAGAAACGTGTCACCAGCTTCTATGGGGAATTCACACCCACGACAGATAGTGCCAAAAAGAGCATAATAATCGGTCTCACAGTAGGGTTCACCATCCTCTAAGTGGAAAACATTATTACGAATGGGTTTTCCACAGGCCACAGACACAAAACAAGAAACATGCCAAGTTTGTTTCAAAGCATTGATGACTTCTCCAAGGATCTTCCTTTGGCATCGACCACATTCAGGGGCCAAGAATTTCTCATAGCACAGCTCACAATACAGCGCCCCCTTCTCCTCTACAAATCCAATGTAGGCCATTGTATTTTTGCAATGAACACAATTAAATTCTTCTGGGTGCCATGATTTCCCTAGTGCCACTAGAAATGGTCCCCTGATGACCTGGTTACAGTGGGCACACATGGGAGTTCGTTTCCCCGCTGGGATGTGCTCTGCTCTTTGCACTAAAGTATCTTGTTCACCTGGCTGAGGCTGCCCCACAGCTGAGCTAACTGGGGCCCCCGCTCCTGAGAAAGTTGCACTGTTTGATATTTTTCCAGTAGAAGGTGCTGCTTGGCTGGGCCGCTGCCAGCTCGGAGACTTGATTGTACTGGTGGAGCCTGTTGGTTTGAAGGCTGCAGCTGCCGTGAGGCTGGCTCCCCCAGGTCTGCTGGCACCGGTGCTTTCCACGCTCTCTAGCCCACTCCGAGGCAACGCTGCAGATGAAGCCAACTGTTGAGAAGGCTCCTGAATACTATTTGCCTTCTTTGTATTATCAGATTCAGATTCTTGCAGATGTTCAGTCGCAGTGATCTGGGCAAGGATGTGGAAAGAGCGAGACTGAGTTGTTCCAGTCCTCGGATGCCAGTCTTCGGTATCCTCCATCAGCCTCTTCTTGCTGGCATCACTGTGAGTGGGTATGTGATAAAACTCCGTATTGCGCTCCACAATGTGTTTTCTTGGTGGACCATTTTGCTGTTTACTGTCACCCTGGGATCCTCTTCTCTGGCCCTCTGCTAGCTCCTGAGCAGTCTCGGAACACACACTGGTGACTGT